CCCTCCTATCCAAAGGAAACCCCCCCCCCCCCCCCCCCCAATTCCAGAAACCGGGAGCTATTTGAGGGATAAACAGTGGCGGGTTCTGTTTCCCAGCAGGAACTTCCAAAAGGATCCGGCTGGATTTGGGAATTCCAGGCTATTCTGAACCACTAAAGCTCAAATCCGGGCTCCCGCATTCCGCTGTTCTCCTGATGGGATTTACTTCCATGTCTCCATCCCGACAATTCCATCAATCCTCCTCGCACCATCCCAACAAGATGACCAGCACCAGAGCGGGAATCAGGTTAGACACAGAATTCCTCTTTGGAATAACCCTCCTTGACACGGGATGGGAGGAGAGCGCTTGTATCCGATGGGACATCCTGGTTTTCCAGGCCTGGGAGGTGAGAGAATGGATTTGGAACAGGGAAAACCCATCCCAATCCCCTCATTCGGAGATCCAGAAACAGGGAATAGCAACAGGGATATGTTGTGGAATACAAGGCAGAGCTCCATAGGGAAGCACAAATCCATGGCTGCACTCAAACCCAGCACCTGAGCCAGCATTCCCAGGTGCTGGAATTCCCTAACCCCCCTCTTTCCAGTGGGATATTTCTCCTCACCGCTCCCTCATTCCTAAGTGGAGTTATTCCAGCCGCAAGGATTTTTCCCTCTTCTGGGATAAATTGAAACCACAAGGATTGGAAAGGAGCCACTTAAAGGCTTAAGGTGGGAATTCCATGGGATAAAGATGCCCTAAAGAGGAGGAAATCGCTTCCCAACGAGGCGCTTCCCTATAAACCGGCTCCGGTTGTACATCCCAGGAATGGTTTGGGCCATTCCCAGAACAAAAAGACCCCAAATCCTCTGGATGTTGGGAATATTGTACCGATTTGACAGCTTGAAGATTCCAGCCCTGAGGAATTCCGGCTTCCCCTCCTCGGCAAAGCAAATGGAATCCAGGAATTCCGATGCCACGGTTTGTTACAGGGAGGATTCCCAGAGGAAAACACTCTCTCCAGATGCGCCTTCTCCATTCCCATTGGCATTCCCAAATCCTGGCATCATCGATATTCCAGCTGCTTATTTCTCATGGCAGCGAGTAGCTGCAGTTTGGGGAAGCTTCCACGGCACTTCCAGCCCATTGGATCCCATCCGGAGGGATGGGAAGACAGACACCCCCTGCTCCTGGAGAAACCAAAATCCACCCACATTCCCTTTGGGAATTCCTCCTTGATTTGTATGAAACGACCATTCCCTGCGGCAGGAAAACGCTTTTGGATGGATCGATCCCCTCCAAATCACTTCCAGCCTCGCGTTCCCTTGGGAAGAGGAAGACAATGGGAAGCAAAGCACTGGAGTTTCAAGGAAAGAGCTTGGGAAACACTTGCTGTGCCGAGGAGGAATGTTATTCCCGGGCTGGAAACACCATTCCCGGCTGAGACGGACACGGAGCAGTTTTTTTCCCACCCCAAACTCCTTGTTTTCCCGCTGTTGGGATCACAACAGTGGGTTTCCAGCAGGGAAAACCAGAGTCTCTCTGAAACCCGAGGTCCTGCATGTGCCTGGTGGGAAAAGCCTCTTTCCCACCAGGGAATTCCAAGTTCTTGGCACACGAAGGGAGGTTGATCGAGGGGTGGGATCAGGAAAGGAAATGGCAGGAAGAAAGAAGAGGGAAAAGGAGGAATGTGCTCAAATC